GCCTCTTCTTTGGGGCCATGCTTGTTCTTTAGAATGTTGCAGCATTCACTTTCTCCTTTTAAAAATAAATTGCAATTGATAAAAAGAGAGAGAGTTCACCGTCAGCTCGGAGGGCAGTGCCTCAGGGATCTCTGAGTGGCCCTCTCGTGACTCCCATTTTTATTCCTGACTTGGATAAAGACTTCTGTGGCATACTTATCAAATTGGGAATTTACTCAAAGCTGGGAAAGATCACTAATAAGATCCTGGCAAGGCTAAATCTCAGGACTGAACTGAATTAGATAAAATTCAATAGGGATAAACGTAGAATCTTACAGTTGGGCTCAAAAAAAATCAGCTCCCCCAATCCAAGATGGCAGAGGCCTAGGTAGATGGCAGCTTCTCTGAAAAAAGCACTGGCATGTCAGTGGCCTGCAGGCTGAGTCAAGAGCTGAAACGGCTAATAATATGATCTTGGGCAGCATGAAAAGAGGCTGGAATAAAGAGATAAGAGTCCTGCTGTCCTACACTGCCCAGTCTCAGGCAGAACACTGATAAGCCTGAAGGCTTGCAGGGAGGCTAACCAGGTCAGTGAAGGCTCTCAAGCCCATGTCATTTGAGAATTGGTTTAAGAAAAGGGGGATGTTTAGCCTGGATATGAAAAGACTCTGGAGTGCAGGGAATGAGGAGACAGAAGAATCATGTTCTACTACGCAAAAAAGGAATTAGACTTGCTCTGTTTGGCTCTGGAAGACAGAGTCAGGTGCAGTGTAGGTAAACTGAGGCTCAATGTTGGGAAACACTTCCTAAGAACCAGAACGGCCTCAACAGCAGTTAGAAGGAGCACCTGTCAGGTAGATTACAGTGGGGAGATCTTTTTAATTACGGGCTAGACCACGCGGGCCTGAACACCTCATTTGGTTGTTAAGCAGATGATCCCCAGAAAGTCCTTTCCAACTGCAGGATCAGGTCATAGCCCTCTGGAGAGCCTGGTGCTCCACAGGCAACCCAGCTCCTGAAGGAAGGCCTTTGGCACATGAGGCTGGCACAGCCAAGAATCTCGCAGGAGAGTCAGGCCTAGACGGGCACTCCCTCACACTCTGCAGATGGTGATGGGAAATGAGCACAGGAGCCCTGTCTTGCTGTCTATCCACAGTGGCATGCCGTTTCTCTACACAGGAGCACAGGAGATAAGCGGGCGCAAAGGTGAAGGCTTGTACAGCACTACCACAAAAAGTCACTTTCAGGATGTCAATCTGAAATGAAGCATTTTTTTGGTGCCTCTATTTCAGAGAATGCTCCTCAAAACATAAATCCCCATTCAAAGTGAACTCTTTCACCAAAGTCAGTGCTAGTTCTGCTTGGGAGCAAGATTATCTACCGAAGACAGAATCTGGTTCTGTTTGGTGAGAAAACACAACTGATCTATCAACCAGGCAATTCAACATCTCAGCCAAAGACTCCTCAGTCTTCAGAGCATTCACTTCAATGTAAATTCACCCAAAGCAGGCCAATGTAATGAGAGCTAAAGGATACTCTGTTCTTTTCCCAGTCATGTGTATTCCTCTCCAGACACTGGAGTGTTACAAGGTAAAGGAAGATAACAAAGAAGACCAAGCCAGCTAGGCCCTCAAGATGCATTTGTAAAGGCAGATGGTGATGGTGATGGTGACGCTTTCTTTCTTTCTTTTTTTTTGGAGAGGGGGAACTTTTCAGAATTAATACTGTTTGGCTTTTACCCCAGGTCTAAGTCTATGGCAAGAAATAGAGGGAAGGAAATGGTTTCACCCTCATCTTCCTCAACATTTCTTAATTCAGTAAGTCTTCATAATGTACTGGCAGGCAGATCAGAAATTTTGGTCATTGCTCTCTAGGAATAAATCTCAAAAGGACAATCCATACTTGCAAATGAAAGGCAGAATGAATGCAGCAGAAAAAACTGAGGAGCCACCTGGCCTGATGGTCCTATCATTAATGGTGGTCCCACTCTTAACAGCCTATGTGACCTCCAGCAATTTACATAGCTACTCTGTGCCTCAGTTTCTCCATTTGTGATATAATAATACTCTATCAAACTATATTACTAGGGCACTATGAATACAAAACAGTGACCATTGTAATAGATTAAAAAGATTAGGCAAAAGTTATTCTCATACAACATTAAGAATCTCATAAAAGTACTTTGGAGGGGAAAAAAACCCAAAATTTTAAATTTTCATTGCCTTAAATCAACCAATCTAAAGCACTACATTCCCTGGTTCTGTTGATCACCCTGCCAAATCCACTGGTTCTTAGATTGCTGAAATGGGATCACAAGAAAATGGCCACAATATTAACTACATAGTTTAAATAATATATTCAGTTTCAAAACACTTTTAACATTTACTAATTAAGCTCTCTAATCAACAATTTGCTTACACCTTATTCTTCCAAATCACTTCTACAGTGATAAAGAAGGATAGGGGCAAAGCCAAGAAGAATTTGCCACTTCTGCCCTAAATATCCCAATGAAAATGAATGCCACTCTTGAAAATTAGCCAAGAAACTAAGCTTATTAGCCCAACAAATCTAAAAATTAAAAGTAAGTGAAGAGAACTCTTAACAAAATATGCCCCCAAACTGCATGACTCCCAAACTGGGGCACAAAAGGAAAGAAGAGCCATGCTCCAAACCAGAGCAAGCACAGCTTTCTAGCTGTTCTCCCAAGGCTGACTCCGTCGACAAGAGGACCCCTGTTCCCTGTCATGGGGAAGGAGACCCCTGAGTATTTCAACTACCACTACTTAAGAGCTGGGATGCCTCCCAGAGAAGAGCCAAAAGCTGGCCTGAGTCTGAACACACTGCTTGGAAACAAGCCCTGAAACCATGATATTTTTTCTCCAAACAACTTTACCAAAGATTTAACTACCCCTCTACCACTGGACATTGGTGAGCCTCTTAGAATCCAAGAATCCCAAGAGTTAGAAGGCTTCCAAAAGGTGAGCCAAAAGATCCATGGCCATCTAGTCTAACCAGCTCCTACTTAAAGGAAAAATTCTCTTGACCAAACGCTTTTAATATAAATTTCACAAATGACATCTGCTCGAAGTTATATATGGTACACAGCAGATTGAAAACCGAAATTCTGCAATCTGTTTTCTACTGGTAATGATGCAGCCTCCAAAGAAACAAAATGAAGGAGACGAAAAAGGCTCACAAAAGTAAAGCAGGAACAGGCAACGGGCCCACTTGGCTGGAGAAGCAAAGGAGAACACAGGAAAAGTCGAAATGGCCCTCAGAAAAAACCAACCAGTGAAGCCAAATCCAGGCAGAACAAGGCTATTACCTTTTCCACGTGACATTTTCCTTCAAATACTTTGAAAAAGCAATCATGCTGCCCACCGCCCCACTAATTTCTTGATCAAACATCTTCCTCCTCGCAGGCCTGTGATGTCACTGGGGAAAGGAACTCCTGGTGAGAGGACTCCTTCTTCCAACAGAGATCCTGCAGCCTGGAGGCCACACGTGGCCCTCCAGGTCCTCCAGTGCAGCCCTCAGACCGAATCCAAACTTCACAGAACTATGTGTCTACCATCACCCAGGTTCCTGGAGTACTGAGAGTCTCAGCAGCTTGCCCAGGGTTTTAGAGCCACTGGGTGTCAGAGGCCTGGAACCCAGATCTTCCTGACTCTCCCTCTGCCATAGCTGCTGCCTCTGATGGTGTGAACCTGAAGTCTCTTATCAGCTTGACTGCCTTGCTCTCAGAGCTCTCCAGCTTCACCAGGGTCCTTTCTAAGATGCAAATGCCTACACACGAACACAACACTGCTCCAGAAACAGGCTGGCCAGGGCAGAGCTCCCCAACGTTATCATCCCCCACGTCCAGGCCATTATGACTCCCTCGATAGGGTCTACGACATCAGCTTTCTCGTCCCCCAGGGTCCATCAGTGACTCATACGGAGCACCAGCGACAAAAGGAAAAAAAAGAAAAATATCAGTTCAACCAAAGGAGGCCCGAACTGCCAAAACCAGCGGGAAAGCGAAGGAGGCCTTTGGCAGACACACACGTCTGAGGAAAAGGAACAAGAAATAGGGGAACTCTACGAGAGCAAAGAAGGTGCGCAGGGAACGATTCTGAGAGGGGCTGTTAGCAGAAATCACCTAAGAAACGGGCTGCTCAAGAAGGGTCCGGGCACAAAAAACCCAAGGGAGAGCCAGAGTCACTGGCGCAGTCGGGGGCTCGGGGCCTCGAAGAAGAGACGTGACAAGGTCCAAAAAGGAATAAGCGATGTTGTAACAGAAGAAGGAAAATGGGAAGCCACTGCACGGCGGCGGGCCACAGCTTGACTCCAGGGCAGATCGGAGGCTGCCAGGCGGCACGCGTGAAGAACCGGAAGGTGGGCTCCGGACAAAGGACCCAAACCCAGCCAGAGAGCTGGCACCGGGGCAGGACCGGCCAGGAGAGTGAGGACGGGACGGCAGCGGGCGACAGGACCCCAGAGCAGGGGCTGGCAAGGGGAGGCAAGCCTGCGCGGCCCGGCATCCTGCATCCCGCATCCCGCATCCCGCATCCCGGACGGCACCGAGCCGAACCGGGTCGGGGACAGTCCATCCATCCGCCCCTTAAGAGGAAAAGGAAGCAAGGCCGGGCCCTGGGAGGGAGGATGAGCGCGGGACCGCGGAGGGAGGGAGGGCCGGGGAGGAGGACCCAGGAAGTGCCGGGCCGGGCCGGGCCGGGCCGGGCCGGGCGGGGGAAGTGACAGCGGCGGCGGCGGCGGCGGCGGCGGCGGGCTGGGGACGGGGCAGGGCCCGGGGGCAGCGAGGGCACAAGGGGTGTGGCAGCGGCCCGAGGCCGGGGTCGGGCCGGACGCGGGCAGGACAAGGGCAGGGGCAATGACAGGCCCGGGGCGGCTCCAAGGCCGGTGACAGCAACAGGTGAAGTGACAGCGCCGGGGCCGGGGGGAGGGGAAGGGGGAGGGGAGGGGGGGCGGGGGGCGCCCGCTGCCCTCCCTCCCCCACCCCGGGGCCGGCCCTCCCTTACCTGCGCCTCTGCCTCGGCGCCAGGCTCCGGGTGCTCTTCGGGCTCCGCCGCTCCGCCGCCGCCGCCGCCGCCGCCGCCGCCGCAGGCCTCACCGGCTCCGCCGCGGGTTCGGGGTTCGGGCCGACTCACTCCAAAATGGCGGCTGCAGAGGCGCCTGACACGCGCGCGCCCGCGGCGGCGGCTGGGCGGAGCCGGGGGCGGGGCGACCGAGCGCGCGCGCGCGCGGAGGACGGGGCGGGGCCTGAGGCCGAGGCCTGCGCTTTGAGGGCGTCCTGCCCCTCCCCCCCCGCCCCCCCCGCCGGGGGCCCCGGCCCGGACGCCCGAGGCCTCGCTCCCCTCCCTCCCCCCGCACCCCACCCTGGCTGGGGCTGACGGACCATGTGGTGCCGGGGGCTGGGGGCTGCAAGGGGCTGCATCCACTGACTGGGGACCCGTGCCTCAGTTGCCTCCTCTGTTACATGAGAATCCTGGACCGCCCAGAGGGCTGTTCCAGAGCTAAATCCGAGACCCCCCATGTCTCGCGTCTCTGTCTCTGTGCGTGTCCTTGTGTCTCTCATAAATGCTCTGGCCATGCAGCCTGGAGCGTGACCCGAAGGGAAATACACCACGCGGGGCACGCAAGCCCACGCAAGCCCACGCAAGCCCACGCTCGATCGCAGTGCTGTGCCACCACGGAGCCACCGAGCTGCCCGGGCTCTCCGGGGGTCCGGTTGTGGGACGTGTTCCCGGGCTGGGAAGAAGGACCGGGAAGGGACCGCGTCGGAGGGGGGGGGGGGGGGAGCACCTTCAGCCCGGCACCCCCCCCCACACACACCACACACACACCACACCACACACACACACACACACACACACACACCACACCACACACACACCCCCCACACCCTACACACACCACACTCCACACACACACACACACACCACACACACACCCCCACACACACACCACACATACACCACACACACCACACACACACACACACATCCCCACACACACACCCTCCTGGGACTTACTACCTTCCAGCAAAAGTGACCAACTTGTTCCTTCTCTCTTGGGAAGCTGAGGCCCCATCCCCTCTGCCCCGAAGACTGCATTACTGAATCTGTGCTCAAAGGAAGTCATTGATAAGGGAAAAGTCCCCACATACTCCAAAATAGTGATGATAGCTAAGAACTGGAAACAAACTAGATGCCCGTTGACTGGGGAATGGCTAAAGAAAATGTGGTCTGTGAAAGAAATGGAATACTATTGTGCTGTAAGAAATGATGGGTGTGATGAATACAGAGAAGTCTGGAAAGATCCCTATGAACGGATGCAGAAGGAAGTGAGCAGAGCCAAGAAAACACTCTATACAGTGACAGCCACGTCAATGGCAAAAACAGGAGCACAAAAAATTCAGAAGTGAATGTAACAAGCAGGATTTGAATGGAGATGAGAAGACAGCCCCAGCCCACCCCTGGGTGGAGGAGGGAATCCTACAGGGGTCACACAGGGCAAGTGTTTTTCGTCTTTTTTAATGAACTGATCACTTACACTGATTTTTTTTTTCCTTTCCTACATCTACATCTTACAAGATGGTTCTCTAAGAGGGGAAGGGGGAGGGATACATGGGACACTATCATAATGTTAAAAAAAAAACTAGAAAATATCAATAAAAATTTATTTTTAAGAAAATAAAGGCCTCTTCTTTTAATATCAAGATTCTACTGATGTTGAATGGCTGCAAAACATGGAATGCAATACTCTCCAAAGAAATGCCAGTTAACAACATGTCGAATCACTAATAAAGGAGGTACAGAAAACACAACCACCCTGATGCTCTGCCTCACAACCGACAGAATGGCAAAAATGACAAATAAGGGCAAACGTGGGCGGTGTGTTGAATGGTTTTGCTGCCAGAGAGCAGAGATTGAGAGTGGGAAGACAGTGCAGTAAGCACCAGGAAAGGAATCACCCCAGTAACATAGCTGACGAGCTGCGTCGTCTCTGCCTGGAGAGGACCAGGGCCTCAAGGCTGCCCGGTCTACACTGGCACAGGTCATTATTAGCTAGTTTTTTCCAGGCATCAGGTCCAAATTTGCCTCTTTGCAGCTTCCATCTATTGCTTCCTGGTTCTATTCTCTTTTTTTTTTTTTACATTTTGTTTTTTTCAAATAAAAATCCATCTTGACTCCTTCCTACCTCCTCTCCACCTCCTATCGAAAAAACAAAAACAGGGGCAGCTAGGTGGTGCAATAGATAGAGCACTGGCCCTAAAGTCAGGAGGATCTGAGTTCAAATCCAGCCTCAGACATGTAACACTCACTAGCTGTGTGACTCTGGGCAAGTCACTTAACCCCAATTGCCTCACCAAAGAAGAAAAAGAAAAAACAAAAACCTTGTAACAGATGTACATAGCCAAGCAAACTAGATACCCCCATGGCCGTGTCTGAAAAATCTACGTCTCAGTCTGCACCCCAAGACCCTCCCTCTTGGTTAGGAGGTAGGCATGTTCCCTTATGTGTCCTCTGGAATCAGAGTTAGTCACTGCAATGATAAGAGCTCCTAGTTCTTTCAAAGCTGTTTTTTGTTATGATGGTCTTATCGTATAAATTATTTTCCTGGTTCTGCTCACTTCACTCTGCATCTATTCGTAACAGTAAGAGCTAACATTTATATGGAACTTTAAGGTTTCAAAATAACTTACAAGTAGTATCTCATTTGACCGTAACAACTCTGGAAGGTAAGTACTATTATTATCTTCATTTTGTAGATGAGCAAACATCTCAGGCTGAAGGAGGTTATGTGACTTGCCCAGAGTCACAGAGCTAGAAAGTTTCTGAGGCAGGATTCAAACTCAGGTCTTCCTAACTCCAGGTCCAGTGCTCTATCCACCACGCCACCTAGCTGTCTTCCTGGGTTTCTGAAACCATCCCTTAATCATCTCTGACAGCGCACTAGCATTCCATTCTAGTCACAAGCCACAGTTGGTCCAGCCGTTCCCCAATTGATGGGCATCCTCTTCATAATTCTTTGCTGCCATGATAAGAGCTGCTCTAATTTTTATAGGTGGGTGCTTCTCCTCTTTCTCTGTGGGGTCAGCTTAGGGTACAGACCCTAAATGATACCCCGGGGTCAAAGGATACGCACAGTATTTCTAACTTTGGGGGCCTATTTCCAAACTGTTTCCCAGAGTGGTTGAACCAGTCCTCAGTTTCACCAGCAGTGTGTTAACGTCCTGTTTTGCCCCAGCCCCTCCCCCACCTGTCATTTTCCTTCTTTTGTCAACTTTGTCAACCCGATGGGTGCAATGTGGTAATTCAGAATGGCTTTACACTGCATTTTTCTAATTATTAGTGACTTTTTCATATAGCTATTAGTAGTTTGGATTTCCTCTTCTGAAAATTGTCTGTTCATATCCTTTGATCGATTTCTCAACTGGGGAATGGCTCTTATTCCAAACACAACAAATCCAATCCCTTATCCACATGACAACCCTTCATATATCTGAAGACAGAGATGGCTTCAAAATGGTACAGCAGTAAGAAGTACAGCCTATCTCTCCCATCACTCCCCCACCCAAAGGTCTAGAAAATGCACCAGACCAAATTCTTATTAGGGAAGCCAAGAAAAAGTCATAAAAGATCATTTTTACAGCCTAAGGTGGCTCGTGGGGACAGACAGAGATATCTACAGACACTGGAAAGTGGGTCTGTCCAGGAGAGTGCCGCGTTGACAGCACCAGCACCCAGGCACTGAAAGAGAACTACGACTGGACACTAGGGCAGGAAGAGATCCCAGGGGACCCCTGACTAGCTCAGGATGCAGGAACTGGTGCCATCTAGCAGCTTGTTCACCTACTGCCCAGTTCCCTAGTGGGACTGAAGTGTCAAGGATCTGGAAATAGACTGGTAGAGAGGAGTGATCACTTCAAAGCCCTCTGTACTAGGCAAGGAACAAGTTTGGAAGCAAACTGTAGCTGTGTGGTTCTGTTCCTAGAAGCAGAGTGGGTCCTCAATCTGAGGCCTCCCCAGGATGGCGGCAGTGGAATAACCAAGGCAGGAGTCCCAGATCCAAAAGGAGCCCAGCGTTCTGTCCTTCTGACCCGCGGGGCCTCCCAGTAAGCGAATATTAGCTAAGACAAGCAGCTGTCTACTGAAACTTCCAAGGAGGGAGAAGCTGACAGACACTGACCCAGATCAGGAGGGCAGCAAGTAGAATTCCCACCACCACATCATTTTGGGAGCACTGAAAGCTTGCAAGCCCCCAGCCTGAGCTGTGAAAATAGCAGAAGGATGTCAGAAGAGGGGAGATCAGGCCAGACGTTCCCCCTAGCAGTATGCAGACCTCAGCACTAACATAAAGCCCAAAGTCAGGTAGGCTGGAAGAATGAGCCAAAAAAAAAAAGAATCCCACCATAAAGGGTTCTTTTGGCAACAAGGAAGCTCAAGACACACAAATGAAGAGAGTGACTCAGAAATATTTAAGAGCAAAGCTTCAAAGAAAAATGTAACTTGAACACAAGTGAGTTTTTTGTTTTTTTTTAAAGAGAGCTAAAAATTATTTTGGGACAGCTGGGTGGTGTATGGGATACAGTGCTGGGCCTGTAGTCAAGAAGACCTGGGTTCAAATTCAGCCTCAAACACTTCCTAGCTGTGTGACCCTGGGCAAGTCACTTAACCCTGTTTGCCTCAGTTTCCTCATCTGTAAAATGAGCAGGAGAAGGAAAAAGCAAACCGCTCCAGTATCTTTGCCAAGAAACTCCAAATGGGGTCATAAAGAGTCAGACACGATTGAAATGAATGAACAATAACAAAAAATTTTTTAAAAACAAATGAGAATAGTAGAGGAAAAGGTGGAAAAAAGAATGAGGGCTACAGAAAATGTGAAAAGAGAATTAACGGCTTAAAATAAGAGCTACAAAACTCACCCAAGAAAAGAACTTCTTGATAATTAGAATGGATAAAACAGAAGCTAACAACTCCATAAAGAAATATTCAAAGTCAAAAGAAAAGAAGGAGGAGGAAGAAGAAGAGGAGGAGGAGGAGGAGGAGAAGTATTTCATAGCAAAAACAAAAAAAC